GTCGCGCGCCCTCGGTCGAGCAGGAGGGGATATTGGGACACTGGCCCCTCATGCGCCTCTCCTCCCGCTAGGGGGAGAGTGCTTCGGCGGTAACCGTTCCCGATTGGGGTAGGTGTTTAGGTGCCCCTGCCCGTGTCAGTGTTGTATTCTGTACGGCATATGATCATCACGGGAGGTCTGCATCCGCCGATCGGTACTTTTCTGAAGTCGTGGTACGACAACAGCCAGACCCGGATTGATGTGTAACAGAGCTACATACACACATACATACACGCATACATACACATACATACACACATACATATACACACATATATATACGCACATGCACACACACATATACACACACACGCACGGGGTAGAGGTGTAATCCACACGATCTGCGTCCAAAATATCGCAATAGATTCCCTCTACCTACCTGTACAGCTCCACCAAATATGCTGTTTTCCTTCTTGGTACCGCCGCCTACCTGGATGGCTTTAGTTTCTTATTTTCTTCATTGTAATGCACTGATGTACGGCAGATCCACGTCATGGAACGGAAGATCGAGGGTTTCGAGAAGCGTCCCATCGTGGTGATCCGACGTCGCAAGCTGTACGCAATCATGGAGGTGGGTTTACCTAATATCGAATACGCCTGTGCACCAGGCAGTAGGTGTAGGCTATGTTGTGTTGTGTTGTGTGTGGTAAGAGATTGTAATGGAGCTGAGCTGGGCTGGGTGGGGAGGGGAGGGGAGGGGGGGGAGGGGAGGGGAGGGGAAATGAGCTGGGCGTTGGGCAGTCGCCCTCGTCGATCGTTTCATCAATCCCTTGAATCAGTTCAGCAATCGCACGCCTCCGTAAGTCCTGCCTCACTCCCGCTTCTAAGTTTCAGAGATTCACACCAAGACAGGTACAGGCTCCAGCGACCCACGGGTCAGTTCTGGTTCTGGCCTGGTGTGCGTGCCCGTGCAGGCCTGGTTCAATGCAAGCATCGATCGGCGGCGCAAGCGGTTGCGGCGAGTGAAGGCGGTTATGCACTGGCGTAATATGTCGTACATCAAGGCCTGGAACACCTGGTGAGCGGCACTAGCCCCCTGAGTCAGTGGTGGTGGTGGTGGCGGCGGTGGCGGTGGTGGTGGTGTGGTAAAACAACGTTAGCAAGGGCCCATGCCGAAGCAATTACCCCTCTCCCTCATACGTACGTACATACATACATACATTTCCATGGGATGCCGGTGGTGGGTGTTGGCCCTGAGCGATCCACTGAATTCGGAGAAGTTGACTGAAGGGGGTGACTGGATGAGGGTGTCCCGAAATACCGGGGAAGGCAGGGTTTCGGCCACAGGGTGAGAAAGATATGACCTGAACCCCCTGTCCCACACTTTATATAGATACATACATATAGATACATACATATAGATACATACATATAGATACATACATATAGATACATACATATAGATACATACATACATATAGTGACATAATTACATCTACATTGGCGTGCCCGGGTCACCGGGGGCACCCGTAGTATTATGATTTTGACATTAGGGTTTCATTGCTCTCCCTCTGCTCCTCTCTGCGCTCCAGGCGCGCCTACACGGAGGAGTGCATTCGCCGCCGCAACCTCGTCAAGAAGTGCGCCGCCAAGATCCGCAACGTCCACTTGGTGGCAGCATGGAACAAGTGGTTCGAGGCGGTTCTGGAGCGGCGTGACGAGGAGTCCAAGATCAACCGGGCTCTACGGCACTGGCAAAACGCCACCATCGGCCGCGCTTGGAACAAGTGGTGGTCGTGGGTGCTGTACCGTAGGGAGTACAAGATCATCATCAGTCGCTGGAAGAACCCCATGAAGGTGTGTATGTGTGTGTACGTATGTATGTACGTGTGTATGATGTGTGAAACAGGGGGGTGTATCTTCGCCCGTGGCGGCTACCCTGCGAAACCCTGCCTTCCCCGGTATTTCGGGGCACCCTCATCCAGTCACCCTAGTCAACTTCTCAGTGGATCGCTCAGGTTCCGCACCCACCACCAGCATCCAACGGAATCTGCCGGGTCGATAGCGGCCCAACTCCATTCCTGGTCGGCTCGCGAGTTAACTTTATCCCAGGTCACCACCGTCCATCAACTAGGGGCGCAATGCCTTCCGGGGGCAATGGTCGCGCCTTACCAGTAGTGCCAAACCCTAGTATACTATGTATGTATGTGCACACGTTATGGAGGGTTATTCCCCCGTAATTCCCGAGCTAACGAGCGAGTGACGGATGGGTTGGAAGGTGGTAGGATTGTGAGGTGCCAACCTGAGAGCAGAGTCCCCACAAGGGGTAGGGTAAAGGGAGGGTTGCCAGAGCGAGCGCGCGAGCGTGTGTGTGTATATGTGTATGTGTATGTGTTGGTTAATGGAGGAGCAATACTCCGGCGTCACAATGTTCATCTCCCTGCCACACACACACAAATACACACACACACACGCACGCAGGCACGCACTCAATGCAATGTACCAACGGAAAGAGACTGGCAAATAGTGGGGAAAGGGCCCGTGTGCATCGTCTGTCTGTCTGTCTGTCGAGGTCAGAAGTTCTTTCCTCTGCATCCATCTCCTGCCTTCCCAAACCCCATGCATATCCTTTCTTTATCCAGTATCCGTACTTGCCGTACCTAGAAACCCGGCATCCCCATCTGCGTGCCTAAACCCAGGGCCGGGCCCTCCGGGGCTGGGTGGCCATGGTGGAGTGGCGCAAGCGCATGCGGCTCATCCTCAAGCGCGCCGTACAGCGCATGGCTCGCAAGCAGCTGGTGCTGGCGTGGGAGGCGTGGTGGGACGCAATCGAGGGCCGCAAGACGGAGGAACAGCTCACCACCAAGGAACAACTGGTGGTGGGTCCTTCTCCCTAATTTTTGATCCGCTGGTTGTTGAAGCACCATTAAAACACCAACCCATTTTGGATTTTGATCTCTGTTTAAATTTAAACTTACTGACTGGGCGTTTTTAGACAACAGATTTGATTTGGGTCTTGATCTTTTTTGGATATTGGTTAAACAACCAACTGAAATTTCCGCTATTTCGGCTATTTTCCGGGTTTGAAGACACTTTACAGGGGCAAAGGGAACCCAAGGTGCGAGTAAAGAATGGGCGCGGGTTAGGAGGGTAAAAGGAGGAGTGAACTGTGCATTACGGAACAAGATTGCCGACCCTCCTCCCCCTCCTCCTCCCCCTCCTCGGGCAGCTCATTCCTTGTTTCCCATGCATATGATTCCTCCTCCCCCCCCCTCCCCGCTGTTCGTCCGATAAGGTGACTGTGAAGGAGCTTCGCGAGGAGAACGAGCGGCTTCGCCGCGATAACGAGCGCTTCGTGCGGCTCATTGATAGCGGAGAGTGGGGCCGAGGCCGCGTGGCGGAGCTTGTGTCGGCAGGTACGGCAGGGTCAGCACCTCCCCCCGCCCCCCTCTTAGGGAAAGTACGATTTCCCTCCTCTTACTTTCCCCTCTTTCTCTCTTCCTTCTCAAAACAAAAGTGTTCCCGTCAACTCGGGGCTAGCACGGCATGGACGCGCACGGTCCGTCTCATGGTTTTTGTGTTTTGCTTTGGTGCTGTCCTCTTCTATATCCGTCTAAACGGACGTCGTCAGACAAGCAGATCTCAGGTTTTTAGGGTTTTAGGGTTTTAGGTTTTTTCTTGCCCATCATCGTCATCCCGCTTCTGATTAACGTTACGGCCCCGTGTCTATCTGCATGTCGCAATCTGTTGTCCCCGGGTTTTCCCGGCCCCCAGCCCATCCGGCGCATCCGGCCAACCATACTGAGACCGCGGCCCACCCTACCAGGCCGAAACACCCACTCGCTCTCACATACCGTCACCCCTTACGGTCTATCTTAGTTGCTTTGCGGCTCTGGGGCATCTGCATTATTATGTCTTAACGCGCCCCCTTCCGTTTTCATTCATTTTCCCGGCAGATCAACCCAGCCAGATTAACTAAGGGCCAACATCTCCTTCTTGCGGCCTTAACGAACGAACGAAAGAGCACTAAAACGAATCATCAGCATCCCCCATCCCCTCCTCCCGACAGGCGAGATCCTCAAGGGCGAGCGCGACGCGCTGCTGAAGCTCATCCAGAGTCTGCGCCGCGAGTACGAGGCTGTGCAGTCCGCCAAGACGGCGCAGGACGAGGAGATGCGCGCCCTAAAGGAGCGGATGATTCTCGGGGTAGGCGGGCTGAGGTCTTGAGGAAAGGAAGAGGAAGAGGAGGTCATTAATGTCAGAGTGTAAGGAAAAGGAAGGAGGGAAAGACGAACCACACACGATTGAAGCTGCTGCCAGGGCAAGAGAGTAACAAACGTAGAACTGACCGAAAGGCGTCCGTGGCGACCGAAGGAGGGAAGGAGCGAGAAGACACGGATGAGTAACCCATATATTGCATAGACATATATGTATATATATATACATACATACATACATTCCCCGGATGGAGGGGCTGCGGAGTGGCTGCGTAGAGTGTTGGCAGTCTGAGTCGGGGTCGGGAGCACACAAGACTAAACGACTTGTGCTGTGTGCTCCCGACCCTTGCGCTGTGTTTCGGCTTCGGCCCCCGGCTCTCGCGGCCCACAGTGTAATCTAAGTCATACATACATATATAACCCATGCATATACATATACCCATATATACATACATATATACGTACGTACGTACATACGTACATACATAGATGGGTATATATGTATATATGAGACTCAAATGGGCGTTGTTACAAAGAGCTCGGTTTTGTTATCCGGACATCTGATGATAAAAAAGGCATTGTCTACTAAATTCCACTTATTCCTCCCTCCCTCCCCCCACACACACACTCCCACTGTCCCCACACGCAATACAGAATCCCCTCCACATCCCCCCAAGGTGCCGGATGTCACTGGATGCATGAAAACCCACCCCACCCCACCCAACCCCACCCAACCCCCAGGGCGCCGCACGCAATCGTATGCTGGTCAAGGGAGGCAGCAGCTTCAACGCGCTGGTTCGCGCCATGAAGCAAGACCTCCTCGAGGGTGGACCCCCGGGTCAGGCGGCGGCGGTGCGGGACCCCAACCTGCTCTACCAGGTGAGACGCGGGAGAGATTCGAACGAAGCGTTACGTTACCGCTTTGCGTTACATTACCGTTCCCTTACGTTACGTTATACGTCTTTTCGCTGTGATACGTTACCGTTTGTGTTACGTGGGGTCAAGCCCTTCAGACAACCGATATCAGACCTCATGTGGGGGGTGGAAGTGAGGAAACAGAGACAGAGACAGCCTCTCGTCCTTTCTTCGGAAGGCTTCCCGCCGTCCCCTCGATATCCTCCTGGCAGGCCCCAACCCGCCACGCGGCCGCACGCCGCACCAAGTTCGGGATTACACCCCGGCCCGCCGCGCTCCCCTCCCCCCTCCCCCTCCCCCGCCCCAGGTTGATAAATTGTCCATGGACCAGGTCACCGTGTTTCCGGACGGAGAGCTCAACGTGCAGGCAGTTGCATCGGCGCCAGGAGCCGCAGCCTTTGCACGGCCCCTCAGCGCAGGTGATGGCGCTGGTTGTGTGTGGCTTGTGGATGGGCGGTGAGGGGGCTGAGTAACTGAGTAGCTGAGAGGAGCGTTATTTTTCGGAGCGCATACACGCTGTTCCTGGCTGTGCTGTGCTGTGCTGTGCTGATTAAACGTTGGCGTTTGGTAGTGACGGTGTTGCTGCTGTTGTTGCAGTTGGTGTTGATGGTAGTGGCAGTGACGGTGCTGCTGTTGTTGTAGTTGTTGCAGTTGGTGTTGATGGTGGTGGTGGTGGTGGTGGTGACGGTGCTGTTGCTGTTGTTGTAGTTGTTGTTGTTGTTGATGGTGGTGGTGGTGGTAGTGACGGTGCTGTTGCTGTTGTTGTAGTTGTTGTTGTTGATGGTGGTGGTGGTGGTGGTGGTGGTCGTGGTGTTGAACACTGCAGCCGCCACCGAGGGTCTGTGATTCCGCTCGTTTGGGTTAAATTTGTCCCTTACCGATGACCCGATGCCCATCCCCCAAGTCATCATCAACCCTGCTCAGCTACCTCTGCTGGCAATTCCAAACATGTCCACCTGCCCCCCGGAAGACCCTCCTCCACCTTCCCGCAAACCCCTGCCCGCCTCCATCCACGCCCAACCATGACCCCTGGCCCCCACCCCCATCCCGCTGCACATGCAGGCCGCGGCATGCGCCACCCGCCGGTAAGCCCCGGCCCCGTACAACCCATGCGTGTCCCGCATGGCTTCAGCGGCGTCGCTGGCGGGGGCGCCGCCGGCCCTTCCGCCGGGTCGCCGGGCCGCGTCGGAGCCGGGATGGGCCCGTTGGCAATGGGAGCCTCAGGACCCGGTAGCAGCCGGGCCGTGAGCCGGGAGGAGGTCGTGGCTCGGCTTCAGAGCCTCTCCAAGGAGGAGCTGGATAGCTTTGAAGCGACGTTGAGGGCACAGAAGGCGGCGGCAGGGCGGGGAGGTGACCGGGGCCGGCCGCCGGGCGTGGCGTCATCATCGTACCGGTGATGACGATGACGATGATGATGACGATGATGATGATGATGATGATGATGATGATTGTAATGAGGAGGTGGAGAATGACGACGAGGATGCGGACGAGGACGTGAGAGGGGACAGGGTAGAGTAGAGTAGAGGAGAGGAGAGGCGTCGGGAGTGGTCGCCGTTTGCAAGAAGCAAACACCCAACTGTCGGCCTTTAAAGCGGGGGTGGGCGGGTGGGCGGGTGGTAGGGGGGGTAGGGGATGGAGGAGGGCGTGTGTTGAGCGAATGAGCGAATGAGTGTTCGGGAAATGGATGAGCAAGTGGAGGGGGTTTGGGGCTAAAGGAGTGATATGGGTTTTTTTCATTTTTGCACATGTTCAGGTGGGGTGGGGTGGGATGAGGTGAGGTGCGGGCGGTGAGGCTAGTTTCGCCCATCCATTGCAGTCAGTCAAAGAGTAGTGGGCCGCCTCGTAGGAAAGCCGGGAAAGTAGCAAGTGGGGTAGTGCAGATTTTCCTAATGGCTGTAGCTGTAGCTGTGGCGGCCGATGCGGACCATACGGGCCTGAGGATTCGCCTTTGTGTTAGGCCAAGTCTACCGTTATCTGCAGACCACTACTGGAAACAGGGCCTGGCCTGCGATCGTGGTCAGGTAGGGGGTCTTTCGAGCCAGCAGCCATCCACCTTCTTTTCCTTGTCCTTCTTCGCCTTCATCTCCGGCTTCTTCTTCGCCTTTTTCTTCTTCGCCTTCTTTTCATCATTTTACCTTTTCATCATTTTACCTTTGCATTTTCTTGTCTTGGCTTGGCTTGTGAGAGCGTGTTTCCTGGATACTTCCCGGTTTCCTTTTTTCCGATTGGGACTGTTTATTCCCAAGAACTGCTGATTGGCTCCGCCGGCGGTAGTCCTTGACCTTTATAAGCCCCTACGCATGACGCTACAGGCACGTAGATGTTTGCCAAGTCTGCTGATTTCTGAACCGTTCGGTCGGTTGCCCATAGTGACCATGTGGCCCACTACCGACTGAAACGCACAAAATCTCATCTGTATGGAGTCTGGACATGTCTGCTTAAATGGGTTATACGCACATGGCAACATGTGCAACAATATTTTTCAGACTGGTGCGGCGCGGAGTACGTGGTCGACGGCAAACCCCGCAGCGGATGCGGCGGCCGGCGTGGCAGGGCCCCAGTGAATTTGCTGCTGTGATGATTTGGTTTGGGACGATTTGCAAAGCACGCATCTGTATAACTACCGCACCTGACGCCTCGGGAAAGAAACATTGAAGCGACGGCCTTTTCCGTATCACTGTATGTGGGGTTTTCCTCGCCATGTCCTTTTTATCTAGTTGACCATTGATTGATTTAAACAGAACTGGCATAGAGCCACGTGTTGCTCCCGCATTTGCTAACTTTCGCGCCGCGGAAATTAGCCGTGTCAACGACCCGATATCTATTGGACACGGATGTCTTTGGATAGGTTTTTGAGAAAAATGCGGGCATGGCGTTGGTGTGACGAGGTGGCCTCTGGGCAAGCCCAAAGCCCGCAGCGAACGCGCTTGCCATGGTTTGTCTTCAATCTGTAACATGTACGGATTAGGGAACGTAACAGAAGCTAGCGGGCTTTCAGCTATCGCGGCTTTTGGGTCGGGCAGGCTTGCAGGAGCACTCGTCGCTGCCAAAGCCATCAACGATTTCTACGAATGATGATGTAAAAACCAGTGTAACGTGGCATGATACAAAGCTGGCGATAGCGTAAATTGTTACCTGGCTGACACGATTATAGCGACAAAAAACAACGGACAGCAGAGCACCGTCGCACTCCGCCGCGCAGCCCCAGCCCGCTACTGCTGCCACGAGCGCCGTTGCTAATCATCCAATCTCTAAGCACGCAAGCAAGCCGCACTTAAAACATATCGTGTCTGCCTTGACCCGTCTGGCCAGGTCTTACCACTCATCTATAGGCAGGCAGCCACTCACGCAGCAAGGAAGACCCATGGGTCGTTCCACTGGCTCCATGAGCCAAAGTGCTTGGAGACCTAGGGGTGTCCCTGCTCCACCCCTGGAGAAGTCATTGCGTACACGGACTGTTTCTGCTACCCCTGCTGCCACGGCCTCCTTCCTCTTCATCCTCGTTGCAGCTGCCGCGCCCACAGCGTCTGCCCAGCAGGTGCAGAGGCAGGGGGCCCCGCGTGTGCCTTTAAACTTTAAAATTAGACGCGCGGGCTGTATGTATGTCTGTGTGTGTCTGTGTGTGCATGTGTGTGTGTGTCTCTATGTGCGTGTATCTGCGTGTGTTTGTATCTGCGCGTGTGTGCATCTGTGTGTGTGCGTATGTATGTATGTATGTATGTATGTATGTATGTATGTATGTATGTATGTATGTATGTATGTATGTATGTATGTATGTATGTATGTATGTATGTATGTATGTATGTATGTATGTATGTATGTATGTATGTATGTATGTATGTATGTATGTATGTATGTATGTATGTATGTATGTATGTATGTATGTATGTATGTATGTATGTATGTATGTGTGTCACAAGTGTGTTCAAAATCCATTTCCGTATGTTCCGAATCGCGTTAGGCCAAGTGCAGCAAGCGCAAGCCATCATAAGTCCACGTTGCTTTAACAGCTTCGTCTCTGCTCTCTGGGATGCAACTGGTCATTGCACTCCCCCATCTACCAACATCTGTTGCACCCACCATTTTCAACTGATCTGCAATTCGCATGATTACGGGCCCGCGACCGCTGGCTTCCAGATTTCTTTACATTTCTTAGGGTTCTCTTAGCCTTGGCGACTGCTCAGTGACATCAGGCCATACACGATTCCCCCCTAGGTATACCGCCCCAGAAGCCCCGCGTCAATCTACGTCTGGAGCGGCTCTGACCAGCCCAACTTCGAGTACCCAGAGCTCAGCGCTCTGGGTGACTGGGGCATCCCCGCCCTGCAGGCCAAGCCTAATCTGGCCATAGCGCTCAGCGGTGGCGGCTACAGGGCTGCCACTCTGGCACTTGGTTGGGTCCGAGGGCTTTACATGGTGGGAGGATTTTAGGGTTTTAGGGTTTTAGGGTTTTAAACGTGAAGTTTAAAACCTAGTGGAAGGCGTAGGGTTTTATCGTTTGGCGGTTTGACGGTTTGAGGTTTATTTAAGGGCAACAGCGCCCTGGTGCAGATGCCGGGGGGTGTTGCTGCTACTGCTGCTGTTAGGCACTGCTACTGCTGCTGTTAGGCACTGCTACTGCTGCTGTTAGGCACTGCTACTGCTGCTGTTACTGTGCTGCTACTGCTGCTGTTAGGCACTGCTACTGCTGCTGTTAGGCACTGCTACTGCTGCTGTTACTGTGTTGCTCATGAGGATGGGAGCTGGGTGCTGAACCTACCTAAAACCGCGGACATTCATTAGCGCACCCCCTCGCCTTGCCCTCCACCCGCCCTCCGTTGTACGCTGCCGCCATCAAAACCACTACCCCGCCATCATGTCACACATACGGACGCAATGTACCTTGCCATGTACGGTGTACGGCATGGACGCCTACTTCGCCGCCGCGTTACTTGTTCGCCGCCTCTGACCACTGGGCCGTCAGCTCGGTGTTTTGCAGCTGTCCCGTTACGTGGGCTCAAACTCCGGCGGCAGCTGGTTTAACGGCGCCATGTCGTACGGCGGAGTAAGTCGTACCGCACAATACTGCAGCCGTACAAAATGTACGACCATGTTAGGTGCCGTGCAGTACGGCAAGGACACGCATGCAGCACGATATACATGGCCTATCAATCCGTTCCTCGTTTTTCCTCCTCACGCTTGATGTCACATAGGGCCGCATTTCCCTCATTACCACCAAGTAAGAAACCTTTCCCGACCTGTGTCACACTACCGTTAACTGCTCTGCCGTCTGGTCCCCCTCCTCCACACAAACAAAAACGCGGGGAACGTGGGTGGCGCAGTTTCCAGTGGGGCCGTTTCTGGGACCCTATGCACCGCCTTCCAACCTGTCTCGGGACGCATTGGGCTCCCCCGCCCTCCTGCCCGCGGGGTCTTTCGGGTCCACCCTCGCTTCGAAGGCCATCATTGCGGATGCCATTAAGGGCGTACTTGAGGATCTGGGTGGGTAATGATGGGGGCGATGGTGGGTGCAATCAGGAGGATGCTGGAAAAATGCGAGCTTTGGTATGTCGTGGGGTACGGATGAGTACGAATAATGCCTCTGTACGACTTGGTTGTACGGAGGACCATGGGTTGGGAAAAAGGGGCCTATGCCCTTTAAATGCGTGCGTTAGGACAGGGATGGCATGTCTGGTTGGCAAGACGCGACGTAGAAAAGATCCCACAAGCAAGAGATGGTACGGCAGGATTCGCCGTACGAATGGCCCGGACGACCCTTCGTCCCTCTTTCGTTTTGTCATCTTGCTTAGCATTCCGCATCCTGCCCTCCAACCATGCGCTCATGCAACCGCGCTTTTGGGTCTCTGCAAATCCGTACACGCCCGCGCGAATGCCGTCCTCTGTGTACGGCAGTCGTACCTGGACGAGAGAGTTTTAGTGGCTGGACGGAGGCTATCGCGCGCGCCTTCCTGGAGCCGTACGGCTTGGACCTGCAGGTGCTTTTGCAGCGCATCTTGAAACGCATAGCCTGTAGTACACGTATCCAATTGTCGTACAATTGCCGTACGACCCGACGGGAAGACGAACGATCTGAGTGAAAGGTAGAAATATGGAAAGTACTCAACGAAGCCTCTAGTAGCGGCATTCGCCGTACATCATTCCCATCATCTACGTTTTGCCAGGCCTCTTGCCAAACCTAACGCACACGTTCGAGGACATCACACACACACGCACACCCAAGTTTTTTCCCCACACACAAACTCCCAACCCCTTCAAAACGTTGCAGAACAGCAGCATCACAGCTCAAGGCACCCGGGGTCAGGTCAGCTCCAGGCTGGCGGCAGCCTACCCGGGAGTGCCCCTCTACGCTGCCCTCACAACCCCAGATCGGTGAGGGGGGTGGCAGACCTAAGGAGGGGGGGGTTGCCCTGAGCACGCAACGAGGCCAGTTGGTGGCTGAGTGCGTGTGTAAGTGTGTGCGTGTGTGAGTGCGCGCGTGCGTGAGAAATAGTACTAGAGAAATAGTCCGCGCCGCGTGAAAGCGGTGGGACACGCAAGGCTGCTTGACGGTTGGAGGTTGGTGCTGGGCGGTTGACGGTTAGTTTTGTGCTTGGGTTTGGTTTGTTCGCTGCTGTTGCTGTTGCTGTTGCTGTTGCTGTTGCTTCTGCTTCTGCTACGCGCACGTAGCTATGAAGCATGGTCCTAATGTTCGCGCTTCTTGCCGGCTGGCATCCGTCCCACGATTACGTTTTTTGCTCCCACTGTGTTTTTCGCTGGCTGCGGCTGTGCTGCTAACGATTGGCGGTTGGCGGTTGACGGTTTTTACCAGTCCGTATCCCATCGTCCTGGGCTCCATCATGAGGGTAGACACGGAGCAAGTCTTTTACCCTTTCGAGGTGAGGAACCCCTGGACCGTACATCTGTACGACAAATCATACAACCTCACCACTTGCACGGCATACTGTACGAACTGCTGTACGAGCTGCTCCGTGGATGTGGTGGTTTTAAACTGGTTTACTTTTACGGTTTTAGGTTTTCATATTCTTAGCGCCCGAAGACCAGAAGCCATAAAGTCAATCAAACCCAAGCAAATTATGACTGACGCCGCGACAGGGGTGTGAGGTGTGAAGGGGGGAAGGGAGGGGGAGGGGAAGGACAGTGGTTGGACGTGATTCTAGCGACCTGCCTTGCACTCGCAGTTCCCAACACGAGTCACAGCTAGCTTTAATAAACTACATGCTCCCGATCAGGAATGGTTGCGAAATTTTCACACCGAACACACAAGTCCTTCATCATGTCGTAGCATGTTTGCCCGGCCGTCGGCGACCGTTCCTCTGTCCGTCTATCCATCCACTTGTCCGTCCGTCCGTCTGTCGGTCTGTCGGTCGGTCACCCCTCCTCCTCACAGGCCACACCACTGTACGTGGGCGACCCTGCTCGCAACTTCACCGTCTCGCCGCCGCTAGGTCCGGGTTTTATGGAGCCGCTGGGATTCAACAGCCCCCCGCCTGGGGACCACCCGGCCCCCAACGCCTCGGCGGTTGGACTTCAGGTGACGGACGTGATCCGTACATCTGCGTACGGATAGTATAACATGCGTACAGATAAAGAAAACGTGCTAGGTAAACAGTAACGGCACATTGATGCAAACAAGCAGACGGATGGAGGTATGGAGACAGGTTAACCCCACAGCAAGCTGACAGATACACATACTGCCATACACAGACATACATACACGCATCACATGCACGTGTTTTCATCTCACCCGCAGCAGCTCATCCACATGCCCCCTACCCACCCACCCACCCACCCACCCACCCACCCACCTACCTACCCACCAACTCACCCACCCACCCACCCACCTACACACCAACTCACACAGGGCCCCGTCAACGTAACGCCAACCAAGCTGGTTCCCCTAGCCACCTACCTAGGTATCTCGTCCAGTTTCGTGTCGCAAGGTGTACGACCTTCGAGCAGTGCGGGTTTCGCGCTCACCGGCACCGAGCGACTAGATTACTGGTAAGGTCGGTGTGGGTCGGTGGGTTGATACATACATACGTACATACATGCATACATACTTGCGAGCTGACCAGGAACTAAGTTGTGGCGCCGTTGATCCGAGAGATTTGGTTGGATGCTGGTGGTGAGTTGCCGAACCCAACGAATACATTCTGAAGTCGGATGGGGTGACGGATTAGGGTGCCCCTCTAGCAGGGGAGAGCAGGGAACTGCCTCCAAGGGAAAGGGGGCCGCTGGCGAAGTTAACCACCCTGTAACAACATACATACATACACACACACAAATTACGTGCACATATGCACGCCCCGTTGGTATCTTGCTTTTTTTCTTCAAGCTGCCGGTCGCATCACATTGTATTGTACCACCAATTTGAGTTCCTAAAGCCTAAAGCCTAAAGCGGTTTCACCCCAGTTGCGGGTACATAAGGCCCGTAAGGCCGCATTACTCTCCATCCGACTACGCCATCGTATATTACGTCGTCCCACATATCTCCGAAACCCCAATCGTACTGCCGTATCAGGAACCCCGCAAACTACACGGGCGGCATTCTTTCCTTCGCGGACGGTGCGGGGAGCGACAACCTCGCCATTACCCCGCTGTTGCGACGCCGTGTAACCCACATTGTGGCGTGTACGGCCGCGCTGCACGCCGCCGACCGAAGCCCCGCGGACTGGGCCGTGGGTGAGGAGGCGGCAGAGGGGGCAGAGGGTTAGGGTTAGGGTGGGGAAGAGGTATACATAGCGAGGGCCGGGGAGAGTTTGGGGGTTGGGGGGAGAGGTGAGGGAATAAGGTTATCACCTTCTCGTCGTCCTCTGGTCTTAGAACAAGGACGTTGTTCATTTTACTTCATTTTCACACTCACAACCACCACCCTGGCAGTACACGCGCATTATCCACGGCCATCAGCACTATCATCTCACCTCTGCCACCCACCTTTTTCCTATATGGGCTCACGCCTTCCCAAGTGTATGTGTTTTTATTTCCTTTTACCCCGTCCACTCACGCGCCGTCCCCCTCTTTCACGCTCTCTTCCTGTAGCCCAGTACGACGTCGCCGGATTGTTTGGTGCCGTACCTCTAAATGCAACCAGCTATAAGGGACTCAAAGGCGGACTCACGGGTGTTCAACCCGACGTCTTTAACCGTGCCTTACAGGTAGGCCGTTAGTTGTTAGGTGGTTGGGTAGTTGGGTAATGGGGGTTTTGTGTACTTCGGGGTTTTAGGGCGGTTGGGTGGCGATATGTACTGGGTGGTTAGGTGGTTGGATGGAGGGGTGGTTGCGCTGTCGGTTGGGAAAGTGGACTGCCTGTAGTGAGTGGTGTTAGCGTTACGTCAAGTTATCGTGTTATCCGCTGCCTTTTCTGCTGGTTGTCTGTCCGCATGTCTGTCCGTCTGTCTGTCCGTCTGTCTGTCCATCCGTCTGTCCGTCTGTCTGCGTTGCTGTCTGCCTGTCTTGGTGACTGGCCGGTTGGCTGATGTGGCAGCGGTTGGCTGCTGGGAGGAACGGCTAGTAGGCACAGGCCGGGGTTCAGGTTGTGCAAAGAGGGGAAACGAAAAACACACACGCACGCACACAGCTGCACCCGGTTCCCAAAACCCCCAACGACGAAACCGCGGCGGCATCCGTACTGTCAGATAATCGTACATGCATTCTCAGGTATTCCCGCGAGAAGGGTACGACGAGCTGTACGACACGCTGCGTGGCGGGTTAACATATGGGCAGCCTGCCATTCACCGAGCGTCGTACCCGGTGCTGTCGAATCCTTCACAAGCCGTTATTGGCGGTTGGGTGGTTGAGGTGTTATGGATCTTCAATATGAAGGTACGCCGATGTGGGGTCCAGGGCTCCTGTATCTGTCTTTTTTCGAGCGGTTGGTACCGTTGGTTGGTGTAACGCTTGTATACTACGTTACGACATCGCGATTGGTTAGTTGGTGGTTGTTCCCATCCAGACGATCTCGTAACTCCACGCCGTACTTCCCATAACCCAATCCGTGTCTCCATTCCACCCTTAACCCATCAACGATAAACCACACCCCTTCGTCACACACCCCTCGACATACCCACCCGACCTGCACAGACTGACCAGTGGGAGCAAAGACTGCCCAATGACACGCAGGCCTTCTTGAACCTTCAGCGGAACAACACTGGCAGGTGAAATTTCAACAACTTCCAACTACTAACTAACAACTGACATGAAGATGAGGAAAAGCTGCTCACCCCAAAGACATGATACATATCTTCGTTTTTTTCTCTCTCACAACGTACCTGAGCTAGCCTAACCGAATCCAACCAAATCCATTTAGGCCCAACCGATAACTGGACTGATTCAAAAATTCAAATTTTCAAACCGAACCTACCAAAAAACTGATTTACTACTCTGTTTCGCAGCGACCTGCACCAATACCCCCACATCTCAACCTACACCGCCAACTATTCGCCCGAGCTGGTCACACTTCTCAGCCAACAAGCGACTTGGACTGTACTGCAAGCGGCTTCGGAGCTGCTAGATCTTTTGGAGATGGCTGGAGTGTCCGCGTCGCCGCCAGCGTCCAGTATGACAAATGCAAGCAACAACACCAACGCCACTAACCCCCACGTTAGAAAGAAGAACAGCAACGCCACAACTGCCGGCGTCGGCGCACCTGCGGGTTTCGGAGCCGCCATAATGAATACCACCGCCGCCACGGCAGCGGGGAGGGAACCGGAGATGCCGTACAACGCAACGACGCAGCAGCCAGTGAACAGATCGTCTCTGGCGGCCGTGGAGGGACACTCGATGGCGACGCTCGTACAGTTCGTACAGGCAGATCCGCAGAAGCAGCTAGCGGGTGTTGCGCCGCAGCTGACGGAGGCAGCACAGCTGGCCGGCGGCTTGCCGGGGGATGTACGGCAGCCCAGAAATTCGTACATTATGGCGCTTGGAGAGCCGCCGGCGACGATGATTCTATTGCCAGCCACGAACCAGAGCGCCCAGGGCGGCGGCGGGGGGAACGGGGGGAGGATGGGGCGGTGGTGGCATGCGGGGCTAGCATTTTTTGCTGTACAAATTAGTACGGCAGTGCGGTTGGTGGACCTTGGGGGTGCCACTGGGCGGCGTCGGTTTGGGCGTGTCGGATGTCGAGCGGAACCTTCTTATCAGCTGGGGATGACATGTACGACAGGGTCTTAAGGTAAATTTCCACATCGTAACGTACGCTCGTACACTCGCACGGGACGCATCAGCACCTTTCTCTTGTGGTACGGTTCAGTACTCAGTAAATGATCTAAGCCCTAAAAGCTTTCATACGTGTCATACAAATGGGGTTAGGAGGGAAGGCTGGTGGCGCACTTGGACGCTGCAAGGCTGGAAATATGCAAGATAAGTAGGCTAAAGCTGGTTATCACTGTAATAGGTGTTAGCTTGTTGTTTATTGTTTGCTATTGAAGCGATGTGAGAGATTTGACCCAGGGGACGGGTCGGTGCGGAAAGAGTTGGCTTTATGCGCGTTGGATAGCTTACGAACGGAAGGAGTTTGCATCCTTTACCTCTCCCTTGAGATGGAATGCATCGGCGCATCATTTGCATAACGTGGCCAACGGAAAGCAGTTTTATCTTGGGTCCCATGCATCGGATTTGCTCACGCCGAGAGAGAAGAAACTGTCTGTCGTGCCCGTGTGCAAAACGATTGTGGAGATGATTCGCTTGCGTGGCACAACTCATAAGAGTTGCTAACAGTCAAACATGCTGGCTAAGTCTTTTCCAGTTTAACCTTCAACACAAGCAGACCATACAAGCTATCCATAGCTAGATGTGGTTGAGTCATAATCGTCCTCTTAATCGTCCTCTGTGCTGCTCCCGATGCAGCAGCGCAAACGGCGGCCTTTTGCACAGCTTCAGAAGCTCTCAGGCGCGTGTTCCTCCAGTCGCAGCTCCTGCCGCCTTTCGCGACGCCACCAGCACCTCAGCTCCTTTAAATTCCGGAGACGCAAGCAAGGACGATTTCGGAGATGCTGCACTGTTCACGGAGGCTTTTGCTTTGCGTTCTTCTGAGGTCACGCCAAGCAGCTCTGACGTCACGCGCTCCGAACATTCAGGACTTCTTCACGGCATCGGTGAAACTGCTGCAATTGAGAAAGATTTCAGATCTGATAAAGTCGAGGAACTTCAAATCCAACAAATCGTTTCGGGAAACTTCTCAGCAGCTGTTGTAAATGCGGACCATTCGGGCTCTATCCAAGCCGCGAAAAATAGTGCAGATAGCGAACTCGCCTATCAACAGCAACGGCAAAAACAGCGGCCCTTGCCGGGTGACCCGGCGGACGCGCTTCCAAACGGACGCGCGACTGCCGTAACTCCGCCCGTTGCGGCGGCGCGGGAGGCCCTCCAGCAGCACCTCATGCACCACCGCTCTCTCCGGACAGCTCGCTGGAACAGCATGTACCAGGATTCCACCGGCGGCGTGAACATTACTAACGTAACCGGCGGCGGCGACGTTGACGGCAGCGGCGGCGGCAGCGGCGGCGGCAGCGGCGGCATTATAGCAAGAGAAAAGGAAGACACAGACGGCCTCGGCAGCGCGGACGCCGACGGAGAGCAGCATCGCGACGGCATGGACGTTGGTTGTACGGCGGGCCCAATGGCATCATTTGGCGCGTCTGCTGACGCTACCAACGGCCAGACGCTACTGCCACGCGGGTCACGGCCACCACGGGCGCTGGGACAGCGTTTCAGGCTGCTGCTGCAGCCGGGCCTTGGCGGCGGCGTTGACAACGCCGCCATGGGGGCGGCGGCGGCGGCGGCGGCGGCGAGAAGCGATGGCGGGATGGCGCAGCAGACAGAGGTGGCTGCAGCAGCAGCGGCAGCGGCCCGGTTCCCACCGCCCATTCGCGAATCTGCATCCAAGGCTGCCGCCGCCACCACACGGGAGCCCGAGCCGCCGCCGCCGCCGCAGCAGCAGCAGCAGCAGCAGCAGCGTGGCCGTCACCGGCCGGCGGGTGCCTTGCCGCTGCCGCCGCGGGTCGTTCCCATCAGCGACGCTAAGCAGCAGCACCAGCGGCGGCGACAGTGTGAGGCTCCGGGCGCTGAATCAGTGGCGGCGCCATCGGAAGGTACGGCATTGGAACGAGGCCAGGCAACGGCGCAGGAGCTAACAGCTGAAGCAGTAGCAGCGCCACATGGACGAGCTTGGCGGCCTTTTGGCCCGCTACTGCCGCCGCTGGCACTGCGAGGCGTGCCTTGGCCCGCCGCCAGCCTGCTCGGCTTCGCACTGCGGCACCTGGCCGCTAGAAAACCACCGCCGCTGAGGGCAGGTACGGCGGCTAACGGCCCTCAGGTGTCGGCGCCGCCACCGCCACCACCGCCGCCGCAGCAGCAGCCAAACGGCAGCGGGTGCAAAAGACCCGACGCCAGGACCGGCAGCGGAGATGATAGCTTAACTGTCGACGGCAGCGACGGTGTAGCGGCGCCGGCACCGTCCCCGCTGACTGGCGGCGGCAGGATGGAGGTCGACGGCGGCGGCGGCGGCGGCGGCCGGATTCACAGCATCGATCAGGCGCATGAGGCGCTTCGTCGGATAGAGGAGGCGTCTGAAGACCAGGCGTTACTGGCCGCGCGGCTGGAGGAGTGGGTGGAGGCGCACCCTGTGGCGCACCTGGCGCTACAGCTGCAGGTGCTGCGCATTCAGCTACAGCTGCTGCGTGCGCAAGTAAGAAGAGGGCGTGGCAGTGGTGGTCCGGGGGGGAAAGCAGAGCCTTCAGGCGCTTAGGAACGTTGCGCCTGTTGGGTTTGGTTGGTTGGTTGGTTGGTTGGTTACTTGGTAAGGGCCGTTGGTTTCGGAGCTGTTTCCGGTGTGAAAGTGGTTTTGTAGAAAAACGAGGAGTGTGGTTTTATAGCGCCTAGGCGGCGCATTACGTTTTTTGCTTGCTTGGATTGGGGTTGCAAATTCATGAAAAAACGTTTTTCGTTTTTCTTCCTTTTCTTCTCAACTAATGGTTTACGCTTCCATTTCCTATTTTCCCCAAGCCAACCCATGTTGTCCCCCATATCTCTGGTATCTGCTGTTTCAATCGTCAGTGGTTCGTCTTACCCCGGCACCCCGCCCATCTTCTCCCCTCGCCGCCCTCTCCACAGACCGCCCTCTGGCGTCCCGTTGAGCTCCTCAACGGCCGCCTGGCCCTGCTCGGCCTAACTGCCGGGCTTTACCAAGAAACTGTCAACCGTTCCCAACTGACCCTGTACCAGCAAGCCCTACACCATCCTCTCAGCATTCCCTCCGCGTTCGCTTTGGTCGTATTGCTGACGGCGATACACCGCCAAATTCAACCGCGCATGAGGACGCGGGGGTTGCTCATGAGCCCGCGGGCGCATCGGTGGCTTGGTCGCGCGGCGATGGTGGGGTTCGTTTGGGCAGTGGTACAGGAGGCGATGGATCCCGCGCACCGGCCGGTTGCACAGCAGCTGCGGGAGTGGATTTTTGGGATAACTGCTAGAGTTGGAGGGGGAGGGGTGCATGGACATGGAGCTGCTGGGGCGGAGACGGGGCTTTTGGACTGGTTGTGGGTTTGGTGGTAAAGGGGAGGCGAGGAAATTGAATAAAAAGGTCGTTTTGTTGTTGTTGGTGGTGGTGGTGGTGGTGGTGGTTTTTGGGGTGGGTTGGGGATGTGAAGGGGGAGGGAGAGATTGAAAGGTGCCTCTGATGTATTGGCTGCCGGGCGGGCGCGTGGCGGGCGCGGCGAGTGCAGCGGCGCGCTGGGAAAGTCCTTTTGTCAGTTGATGGCGGGGGGGAGGAAAACGCTTTTGGTAACAGTATTCTTATATTTGAAGGACAGACGGATCCCGCAAGGATGCAAGGTTTCTGAAGCCGGAAGTGGTTTGTCAAGTAAAGGTGGAGGCGGGTCGGCGCACAACGCAGAAAAAGCGAGGTTGCATTAGGCTTGGGTTAGTTTGCGCATTTGCAGGATGTCTGTGTAACGAAGGACTGGAGCGGGAGAGGGGCTTTTAACGTTTTGAACCGCCAAATTAGTGGGTTGCCCTGGTTGTCTGGCTGCAAATTAGTCCAAAGGGATCACACAAAGGATTAGTTTGAAGACTACCTCAATAACAGTGTATTGTACATCCTGCACCTTTGGAGGTGTAATCTGCTGCGGTGCCCAGGTCAAATATTTTGCCGTATGTTTGAAGCCGTTAAAACCGAGCCTTGCGCCCCAACACGTGCTGCCGAGTCCGCTAGGTTGAGGCTGCCTAGTTCAACGGGAACGCAATAGCCTTATTTGCAGCCATACAAATGAATATAGATGCATAGCCCATTCGTCCTAGTACTTCCATCCAAGTCAAGGTGGGAGGAAAAGTGCTCGTATCGACAGCAACGCGTGTGCATAAGAAATTTTATCTTCGATTATTGTAGGCTATTTCATAAATTTAACAGTTTAGAAACCCACGAATCGTTTCTTTGTCAAATTTCACTTGCCAGTTAGCTCTAGATATTAGACGCTCAGTGTATTCAACTCTCCAAGTAAGGAACCAATAGTCATGGAACATTCTGATGCCTTAATGGAACAAGACGTCCCTTTAGCTCCAGCTTTTGCACCGAGCGGCGAGGTGTGCTTTGGAGCGGCCGCGGAACATAGGCAATTATGATTTGGGTAGCTTCATTACCTTTTGGAACCCTTTGTAGGATACTCCTCGCTTGGTTTCACCTCGTCGTCCTGACGTGAACGACTTGGCCTCGGCGGGCAGGAGCCCACCTATAAGCATTAAAAAAGGCGCTCCAAAGAGTCCGAATTACGACATTAGCCACGACCTGGAGGAGCTGGATGAAAACGTCCTCGCGGAGATGCTGGTCAAGTACGCCAGTTTCCAACAGCATAATGAAATCCTAAACACTACGCATCGTTGCTAGAGAACTCACATGGTGCCCAAATCGCGATAGGGTCGAAGTGGGCCGGCAGAGCACGGAACCTTGGCAGTTACTTCTGCCGATGCCGTTTGCATAAGAGGATGCACCAAACCTAGGGAAACCCCTTCCCCCAGACCTGACAGCAACCCCACCACATCTCCTACCTCATAACGGCACTCCGCCGCCATAATGCAGCCCAACCGCACTCCCGCGCAAATGCGGTTGATACCCTTCCTCACCATGTTCTCCTCGTTCTCCCCCTCACTCGTTGCCCCCTTCTCCCCCATAACCTAATTCCTCAACAGGGCTAGCCCCAAGTTCACTGAGCCATTTGACATTAGCCAAATCACCCGCAACGTAAGCGTTGCACGAGCCGCGCGACGGGAAATGGACGTTGCCTCGTGCGGGGGTCTCAGCGAAAGCTACGCGTCAGGTGCGTGTGTGCGTGCGTGCCTACGTGTCGACATGCCTCAGCTCAACACCAAGCCGTTCTGTAAAAACCAAACCGCACACATGCCACGTGCCAGTTTGGGGTCCCTCCGTCCTTCCCCGTTCCTTCATCATCATCATCATCATCATCATCATCATCATCATCATCATCATCATCTTCTTCTTCTTCTTCTTCTTCTTGCCACCCGGCTTCAGGTTTAGCACTCCGCCTCCTCCCCACCCAACGCATCCTCTCAACCTCTCCCCCCGTCACCTAGCCCCGACAGCCCCAACCATTCACACCTTCCAGGGTTTTCTTTTTCTCTCCTCATGCTAATGGTTTCCTTCCTCCCAACACCTCCGCGTTCCCCCATCCCCATGTCATCCTCATCCCGTCTACACTCCCCCCCAACACACACACACATACACAAAAAAATAGCTGCCGCGGCGGCCGTCGTCGCAGCGGGCGCTGCTTCCGAGGACGGGCAGAGCTGCAGAAGGTCCAGCGGCGGCTGTACGGTATCAGTTACCGGCACCAACGGCTTCATCAACGGTCACGGCAGCAACGGTATCAACGGTATCGCTAACGGACTTTGGGGTCCCGGCGCAGGCCCTTTGCACGGACCGCACGGACCAGGTTGCGGCGCCGCCGCAGGCGCAGCCGCTTCTGGGATAGGATGCCGTCTGAGCGGGGGCTTTAGCGTCCTGTCAGAGCAGATGTTATTAGCTTCGGTTTCGTCAATCAGTACTTTTGACGCGGAGATTGCGCGGCAACGAGCGGCGTTGGCGGCCATTGAGGATGACGTAGAGGAGGAGAGTCGGGTGAATCGGGAGATGGCGGGCAGGATTACGGAGCGGCTGGAGAACAGTTGCAGGTGAGGGTGAGGGAGCAGCACAAGAAGAAGGCGAGCAGCGCTGGTTCTGGGGGGTCGTTGGTGTTGGGATGTGGGAGGTAGGTAAGCGGAGTCCGGTTTGGGCTCCAAGCGGGAAAAAAGGCGGGAAAAAGGCAACCGCCTCCTCCCCTTCCCCCTAGTTCCAAATCCAACTGCCCAACTACCTTTTTGTCATCGTCTCATCGTCCCAAACCGAAACTCAAACCTGCATATACTAACAACCCAAATCTGCGTTTGAAAATCCGAGCCTAAACCTGGAAACATTTTGAACCGAACCCTGGATCCAACCAAATTTGAATTTTTGATCCAGGATTCTCGAGGGGCTCGCTTCGCTCCTGTCCGCTTTGGGTGCGGCTGAAGCTGCCTACTCCGCCGCCATGTCCGCAGCCTCCCGGGTCAGGTTGTTGGGGTTGGAAAGCGACGACGGCGAGCTCCGTACGGCAGGGGAGGCGCTGATGAGGATCCCCTCCGTGATTGAGCAGGCGCACAGGTTGGCGGTTGCGTTGGCTGGGTAGAGAGGGTGGTAGGTGGGGGGAGGATAGAGGGGTCGGTGGGGGGAGGATAGAGGGGTAGGTGGGGGGAGGATAGAGGGGTAGGTGGGGGGAGGATAGAGGGGTAGGTGGGGGGAGGATAGAGGGGTAGGTGGGGGGAGGATAGAGGGGTAGGTGGGGGGAGGATAGAGGGGTAGGTGGGGGGAGGATAGAGGGGTAGGTGAGGGGAGGATAGAGGGGTAGGTGGGGGGAGGATAGAGGGGTAGGTGGGGGGAGGATAGAGGGGTAGGTGAGGGGAGGATAGAGGGGTGGGGAGGGTAAAGGTTGGGGAGGGTAGGTAAGGGATAGAGAGGGGAATGCTCGGTTCTGTTTGGTTTGTTTGCTTCGTATAGTTGTTACTAATAATCATATATGTAAATTTCCATCTTGTCAGCGCGAATATGTCGTACATGTGTATGTATGTATGTATGTATGTGCGACGTGTGTTTGGAACTTGGTGCGTCATGCTCTCCGCCAGGCCTCTGCACTCCACCCTCACCGGTACGGCAAAAGAGGTTTCCGTACTCCTTTCCCGGTACCGCGCCGCCGCCCGGGAGCTTTCCACTGAATCAGTTAATGCACAACGGAACATCGACGCAGCGCGGCGACAGTTGGCGGTTGCATTGGCCGAACATGTGACTGCCTGTCGTACATTTGAGGCAGTTTTGGCGGAGCGGCAGCAGCGCCGCCAGCCAACCCGGGGTCCCGAAGCCGATCCCTGGTTTACGGAGCGGCGGTTGGTTCAGGAGCAGCAGGCGTTACAACGGTGGCAGGACTGCGAGCGAGCGTTACTCAAGACGGCGTTTCAGCGGGTTACGGAGCTGGAGCAGCAGCGGCTGGAGCTTTCGACACAGGTCCGTGTGTGTGTGTGTGTATGTCTGTATGCCTGTGCGTGTGTATGTGCGTATATGCGGGCGTGGACTCTCCTAAAAAATATAGTTTTGTTAACTAACTGGCTTTTTTTATTCGAGTATTATATGGCTGTGTTTCATAACTGGCTTCATAACTGGGTTCATAATATTGGATCAGCATCAACTAAATAAACCACTGAATTTGAAAACACGACAACACCAACACCACCAACAACACCACCAACAACAACAACGACAACAATAATAACTAGTTCCTGAGGAGCTCTGTTGAGAGGAGATGTTGAAGTCTTTAAAAAAGGAGGGCAGGGGGAAGAGTCTTGGCTGGGGGTATTGAAACCAAACCAAGGTCAACGGTATTGAAACCTAGGTCAACGCCAGGTCAGCCAGCCGCCTTCCTCTCTCTCTCCCACCCGCCACCCAACCCGCCCCGAAACCCCTCTTTTTCCCGCACCTCGCGACGTTGACCTCGGCCATCGTAGGCTCCTTCCCGCTATTTTGTTTTTTGATAAAAAAATTGAGCCGTTAAAAATAATAATGTTGCTAAGAGGATTTTTTTGATTCTGGGCGCATCACGGGAGATCTTCATCCGCCGATCGGTGCTTTCCTGAAGTGGTGGTAGTCTTGATGATACAACACCCGCCTTTTGCTGCATATACGGCCCCCCTTCTTTCCCACTTGCCTTGCGCGTAACGAAAAAAACGACTAACCGTCGACGTTGAAACGAGGTAATGGGTTACTCCTTTAGTAGGACATTACCAATAGTACATTCGACACGTCAGCCATTACGGAATAACTGATGCAGTTGATCTGCACTTGATCTGCGTTTCGTCTGCACTTCCATCTTTCATCTTGGCGACTGTGTTTTATTGTTCTTGTCGTTGTTGTTCTTTGTTCTCCAGGCGATGACAGTGGCGGTGGACAGCTACCGCGCCGCCTTGCTACCGCTGCAAACGGATCTGGAGTCCATGACGGTGCGTGTGGAGGGGACTGGGGGGGGGACTGGGGGCACTGGGGGGTGGATGGGGGGAGAATGTTGGGGGAGAGTGCTGGATGGGTGTTGGGGGGTGATTTTTATGTTGGGACGGTGAGTGGGAGTAAGGTCCATTGGGCCTTTAGTGCTGCTGCTTCTGTTGCTGTCACTGTTGCTGCTGTTGGTGTTGTTGCTGCTGTTGCCTTACGGTGCGAACAACTTCCCCCCTCCCCCCCAACCCCTTCCCCCCCGGCCGCGGAATGGGAGGTTCATAGGCGATTTAGCGGTTTACACCGCTTTATACGGGGTGTTCGGAATGTTGCTCTTTACGTGCACTTAAATTTCCCCCCCCCCTCTCCCTCTCTCTGGCCCCCCTCCTAAACCACTAAGCATATGTCGTCTCACCGTATTTCACTTCCTAGGACTAGCCCTCGATTGCCTCTCAGCGCGGTCTTCCTCCCCCTCCCTGGCTGGCGCCCCAATAGGCGGTGCTGCAGGCCATCCAGCCCGATGTAAAGCTCAGCACCTTGCGTGACATGGCCGCCACCGCCACTCGTACGGCGGAGGGGCTCGCGGCGCGGCAGGCGGAGTGTCTACACAGCGTGTGCCATGAACTGTTTTGCTCGCCGGAGATTGTACGGCAGGGTGATTTGCAGGTTTGGGAGCCGGCCACGGAGCGGTGGCGTAAATGCCACTTTGTCCTGACGAGAGCAGGTGTGTATATGTATGTATGTATGTATGTATGTATGTATGTATGTATGTATGTATGTATGTATGTATGTATGTATGTATGTATGTATGTGTTTTGTGGGGGGGGAGGAGAGGAAGGGAAAAAGGTGAGGGCAGTAGGTGCCTGGCCGGGGGTTCAGGTTTGCTGCTTGCTTGCTTTGCTGCTTTCGTGGCGGCGGTGGTACTGCCGCTACTGCCACTGCTGCTGCTGCCACTGCTGCTGTTGCT